AGGAGGGCTTTGTGGAATTATCTAAAGTTTGGTAGTGCAATAAATTCTATAAAGACAAGAAACAAAAAAAGTCCATGTATCAGACCTGAGATACTTCTCTAGAAGCATTAGTTTATTGGGTAAGTCAGTTACAGATATTTCATTTTTGTAACTCAGTTCAGGTCTGAGATCTGATAGTACATGCATGAAATCATGTATCAGTTTAACACTAGCAAATTGCGCTTCCTATCCAGTGTTATATAAAACAGGTAATTTGATACATAAACACAGTGTTGAAGGAGGAAAAATAGAAATGTTCGAGTGCAAAAGGAATATCAACTTACAGCTTGAATAATATCAATAACACGTGGCTCTCTCATTCTCCAAGGAACATCTTTTGCAAGAGCCTGTGAGTAAATAAGTAAATTTGGATAAATATTCAGATATGTGGACAAATCCTATGATTTATGAAGAAAGATGCAAGCTATCAGACACCACAATTGACCAGCATCACCAAACAAACACTTGGTCACATATGCATTCGTCAAGATTATCTACACGTCCTTTTTTTTAAACAGGGCATAACATATTTCAGCTTATACATATTTTATACATGAATGACAGTTTACCTAGTGGGAAAAAAATGCACACCAAATCAGATCCGGGTGTGTGGGGCACCGATTTCATTTTTATGTTGGGATAAGGGTTACTTGGCCTAGGGATCATATAAATATATAATAAATCATCATGTGTAACACTGTAGAATAAAGATGGAGCATATTGGATATCTTATATTTTTATATTCCACCACTTTCCTGAAAGTTGAAGCCCTTTCTTGCGTGATGATAATTGTTCCTTCTAATATCTGCCTTTTGATACGCGCACAACTGATTAAAACCTCAATGGCTCTGATAACATCTTAAAAATGTCTCCCAAAACATGAAAATTCTCAAGTTGAGATGAAACGTGTCAGATATTATTTTGAAAATAAACAATAGTTAATAGATATAATTCTATATTCTAACAAGAGAAGTAAGATGAGGTAAAAAGCTAAACTAAACAATGTTAAATCTAACAAAGCTATACTAATTGTCTCATGTCTCATCAAATGCTCCCTCATGGGCTTTAAACTCCCAACACATATAACATGAGTAAAACCTCCAGACCTCTAAAACATACTAGTTAAGTGCTCGACCTACCTTTTCATTTAGAATAATTCTGCAAATCGCAACATTTAATTCTAGGTTGTAAAAGAAACTTACCTGTCTCATTTCTTCGAGACTGATTGAACCATTTTTATCAACATCAATTGCATCAAATTGGTCTCGAAGATCAGCCAACTCATTCTCATTGAGTGTACTTGCTAGTGCCTAGTATAGTAATTCACAAAAGATAATGAGAGCTCAAAGGAATCAGAGGGGAAAAAAGGAAAGGTAAAAAGTAAGAAATATACTCTAAGTGCAAATTGCTTCAAACGGCTATACTTCACAAACTGACGCATGTTGTTGAGAACAGATATATCTAGTGGAATTTCTGATGCATCTCCACCTTCTCTCACCCATGGGTGTGCTGCAAAAATGAGCGACCATCAAAATTTAGTTCATGAAAAAAATCTAAAAAGGTGAAGATAAAATGTGATGAGAGAAGAAAGTTGATCATTGTCTATCTGATAAGCTTTAACTTGCAACTTATAATGAATTAGAGTAATTAAAGACTATAATAGTCCATACAAATTTTGAAAATAAACTAAACTCCAATAATTCAATATTAGTCCCCACTCAAATCTTTGAAATTGCTCATGTCCCTCAATTCCTAACGGGTCTTGCAATTTGGTCCCTTTGTGACCAAAATACCCCTCAGCTAATGTTTTTCAAACAAGAGAGTTTGGGGGAAACATAAACTGGGGTATTTTGATCATTGATGGACCAAATTACAAGATTCCATAAGATTTTAGAGACTTATGAGCAATTTCAAAGATTTGAGGGACTAAAATGGAATTATTGAAGATTTGAGGGAATTAATATCTGAATGACACAAAATTGTTTTATTTCAACATAATCTATAAGACTATAATGGAATTGTAAAGATTAGGATTTATTACATACACAAAGCTTGGGCAGCAGTCAATCTCGTACGGGGATCTTTAACTAATAACTTTTGAACAAAGTCTTTGGCGCCATTCGTTATGCTTGGCCAAGGCTTCCTTCGAAAGTCGGGTTTGTTCCTTAACACCTGAAAACCAGTACCATACAAAAATATAAGCAAAGGTTCCAATGATCGAAGTTAAAATTGCAAAAGAAAATACCAAGTGAATCAATCATCAAACAAACTTATGAGGTCATGTTATTGCAATCTTATCAAACCAATTCATTGAACTGAAGACAAGAATATCTTCACTACTATGTAACTATAAAGGCTTGAGTTTGTGTATGTGAAGCTTTCACATAAAAAAATTGACCTACATATTAACCAAATGAAACATAGGGGCCCACCACATAAATGCTTTATGGAGACTGGAGCCTCTCATTTCTCAATTCATTCACAATTAAATGTTTGTGTAAAGATTAAAATACTCCCACCTTTTCAACTAGACATGCATGTGTCCCAAAATGTAGTGTTGCATAAAGCTTTGATTTGGTAGTATAGGGATGGTTAATAAGGTAGAGCTTAATAGAGAGATAATAACACAAAATAAAAGACAAAGAAATTGAGAAGACATAATGGAAAGAAAGAAGTTTTGAGATTTACAGCATTGCCATCAATAACAAACCTGTGACGGACTGTGAAGCCCATGCAAGCCCCAAAAATGATAAACTAGGTTTTTGCTCCAAAACTTTTGCAATACGATTATTTCTCTTGTTAAGTACACGGCATCAATGAAAAAGTTCTAAAGATACTTCATCATGATTTTTAATCATCCATATAAAAACAATTCATTACATAAGAAAACCGGACCGTATTATTCAGCAGTAAATGATGCATATTGTTAATTTCTAACAGAATCAGTCCAAAAGGAAGTAACAAGAGCTAGTTATGCATGATTAAACTACAATTACAAACATGTTCCTCAAGGTCTAAGAAGTATAAAATAGAACCAGCTCTATTTTTGTTCTTTTCAAATATGTATCAAAACATGGTAAAAAACTTCCACATCACTACAGTGCACTTGGATAAATATAATGTACTAAACCTAAAAGTTCATTTATCCTTTGGCTCATAATCTCAGGTGTATATCTACTGGCATAAACATTTTAAATAGAATATCACAAGTATGGAATTGCCAAAAGCACAGAGATAGAAGCAATGTATGAACATCACACAAATTATTAAGGATATTACCTCCTTAAATATTCCATCCTCAGTTTTGTCCCAAAAGGGACGCCTTCCGCATAGCAAAATATAAGTAATCACACCTATGCTCCAAACATCTGACTCGGGCCCAGACTTACGTTTCAATACTTCGGGAGCAACATAATATGCACTTCCAACAATGTCATGAAATTTCTTCCCTGCATTATACAAAAATTTTAAAATTTTATATGAAAAAAATCTGGATAAGCATCATACAAAAATTTGGCTATGCGCGCGCCTGGCTTTATAAAATCTGATAGGCCAAAATCTGTTGCCTTAAGAGGTGAATCTTCTTTTGTTGATTTAAAAAGAAAGTTCTGCAAAGAAAAATATATAGTTATTACTAAGACACAAACCCTTAAGTGTGGAGTCACTAAAGCTTGCTACAGTTACTAAGACTTACCTCAGGTTTCATGTCACGGTGTACTAAACCATGTAAATGGCATTTAGCTGCAACTTTAAGCATTTGGCGTACTACGATTGCAGCATCTTTTTCTGTATAACGGCTATCCTTCCTGAGAAAAAAATATTAACTCAGTATAAATGGATGCTAAGGTGCTTTTAATATGAAATAGACGGCAAGAGAATGTATATGAAGACTTTAAGTCGAAGAGTCAGCCCTTCTAGAAATGAAATATAGGTGGTGAAAAGAAATTCTTTTATACACAAATAAAAAGGAAAAAAACATGAAATTGATGACACAAGAAAGCGAAGTCTCACTTGGCTAATATACGATCTAGTAGTTCGCCGCCTTCACATAACCTAATAAAACACAAATAAAAGATCAGCATCCTCATAAAAAATAGTTTGATTTGTTGCAAACATGTCAAAGCTGAGAAAAGGTAACCATAATAAACCAATTACAGAGCTACCACGTGGTTTAAAAAGAGTATTGAATTTTAAATTCTTCATAATAGACTAGTAGCAAATAAAATTGTCAACTAAATTACCCAGTACGAATCATAGATTGTCTGTTTCATGCCAATATTGCAGTATTGCGCCTCGTTTTTATCCTGAATTGCTTCTCAATGTGTAGATTATCTTAAAATAAATGATGTACTTTTTACCAAAAAAAGTTGGAGCAATCAGATGATTAAAAAAACACAAGCGGATAACATGACTGTATATTAGGCAGAAAGCATTAAAGTTCTTGATAAAATTGGTAACAGACTGTGTTGACCAAGGAAACCAGTCATGCATAATTTACACAGCATCAATAGAACAGGACATGAAAAATGATCTTAATTCTTCTGTGAATCAATATACAAGAATTCGTTTCGCTGTTAGTGGAGTATGAACATCAAATAAATCTAATATAAAGAATGAATAAGATCCTGCAGTTATAATACATTCAATAGTGCTCAACAAAAGATAGCTTTATTAGCAAGGTTCACAAAGGAAAAACTTACTCCATAACTATATATATGTAAGAAGTATCTTCAAAAGCATTATGGAAGTGGACTACATTCTCATGGCCTCTTAGGGCTTTAAGAATCCTTACTTCTCGCTTGACATCTTCAACAGCAATTGGAAGGGTCATCTGCGAAAAAATAAGAAAGAAAGCCTCAAATATTAGATTCATAAATCTGGTGATATGACAATTTTAATGCATGGAAACAGCTTAAAACAGCAGTTTATGATATAACTTTTAGCTTTATAATTTTTATCAGTATACAGGGCTAGCTACGAGTTGCTTCAGAACATACGAAATAAACGTAGGGTAAAAAGGATGGTGACTTTTACAAGTCCCATTCATTTGGGACGAGGTACATTCAGATCTAGTATGGACACTACTTTTCTGGTTAACTTTCCCAAATCTACAACGTTTCCAATTTTCGTCATCCGTAATTATTTAACATGGTGAAAAATTATTATCAGAAAAAGCCATATAAAATTGTTGCCATAGGTACATCATACATCAGATTTAATAATCATTCTCTGCCAAGAATTTTCTCTTAAGAATCTAGTAGCACAGACTTGGGCAGTTTTGAGTTTTCCCTCCTTAAGGTATACCTATAGATCTAAAAACCATTCTCCACCGAGGAAAGAATCTAATATCACAAATTTCTATAGTTTTTCCATCTTTAATGTGCTCTGTTCACAAAATTTATCTTATTTCCTTGCCCATAGTTTTGACATCTTTTGACTTTTCCCTGATGTCACTATAGAAGAATAATTATTACATGTTGTGTGTATTCAAAAACTCGACGAGTAGTCAGAGATCTCTATTTCCAGGAGAAATATGTTATTCAGAAAATTGATACTACCGCGTAGAAGTAAAACTGACGATGATCTCAACTGCCAACAAACCAATACCCTGTCTATGTCATATAGAGATACAAGACAGAAATCCTACCATCTAAGTTAAGTAATCTCAACCAGACTTCTAAGTCTTGACACCTTTGCGTTTATTAGGTCATATCAATTCTCACAATTATGGCAAGGAAAAATCTAGTTAAACATTGTGAAAGCCAATGGCAAAACAAGGTCACTAGTCTTGCCAATTAATTTAGGCACTATTGCGAATACAACGTTTACTTGCACAGTTTCCTTCTTAAGCTATTAAATAAAAACAGTTTCTTAAGTTTGAGGCATTAAAGAAACCTCTGGGCTAAATATAAATAGTTATAAACTACACAAATTCAGATACAAATGTGTCCAAACGATGGGAAAATAGAACTCGAAAGACCAGTATATCCTATAACTGCTTGTTCATAAACAAGAAAGTACAATAATTAGATTTTCATTATTAATATTAAGGCTGAACTTATTGTTCATGAACCCATTATAGTTAAAGAAAGTTGAGAAACAATGTTGCCATTCTAGCACCGGTGACTTGAAGGTGAAATTCCCAAATTTCTATCAAATGGCAATTGCAAATTGACTGCGAAAATCCTATTTGCTAGAACCATTGAATTCAAACAAGATGCAAAATTTTGATGTAAACACTGTTCATCAATCAAAACCAATTGGCAAAATGGACAGTATAATAGAACCTGCAAGACCACTGTATCCTATGACTCCCTCTATATTAACAAGAAAACACAAAATAAGATTTTTTTTTTTGTATTAACACTGAAATTAATGTTCATATACCCATTAATGATAGTTAAAGAAGTAATGTTCATGAACCATCACTTTCCATCAATGAAAATACAATTTCACTATAAAAAAATCCTATTGACTGGAATCGTTGAATCAAAACGACAATCAAGATCTCAACAAACACCATCCATTCAATCAAAAGCAATTCACAAAATGCATAACCCCCAACGTTATGTTTTGAACAAAGCATTCCACAAAATCAACAAAACCCCGGAAACTAAACCGAAAAAGATTGAAAAATGTTCACCTCGCCTAGGCGAACCTCTTCAACTCTATCTCCAGTTGCCACAAAAGTGTATCGAAATTGCCAGGGACCCAAAAATTTCCCAACCGAATACTTATCTTCTGACCCTTAGCATATTTTTCTTCTTGCGTGTGAAAGGCTGAATTTTGTTCATGGACCCGTTAATGATAACTAAATAAACAATGAAAGGTTGAATTTTGTTCATGGACCATCCATTCTAGCACCTATAACCTGAAGATCAAACTTCTAACTTCCCCACAAACCAAAATTGTAAATTTCATCATTGAAATCCTATTTGTCCGAATCATTGAATCTAAACAATACAAAAAGGAAAAAAGAAAAAGAAAAAGTCAACATAACACCATCCATTCAATCAAATTTTGCCCCAGAAACGAAAACCGAAAAGATCGAATCGATCACCTTGTTCTTGTCAATCCTCTTGACGGCAACTCTATCTCCATTCCTCTTATCCGTTGCCACAAACGTGTATCCAAACTGCCCATGACCCAACAATTTCCCAATGGAATACTTGCTCTCAAAATCCTTATCGTACCCAAAATCTTGCCTTTTTCCATAAGGAACGGACCCACTTGTCCTTTTTCCTGGTGCCCTTTGCTGGGATTGAACCTCTCTTGTCTTCTGCTGATGCTGTTGTTGCTGTTGCTGTTGAGGGTTTCTATTGTCGTTGCTCCTGCTATTGGATCCACTAACCTTGCTGGGGCTCGAGATGCAAAGACCCATGTTGCTTTTCCTCTCTTTTTGGATGTTGGGGACTTGGGTGTGAGGGATTTTGTGAGATAACCATCAAGTTAATGGGATTTGGGGCATAAAAATATGGTTTTTTTTAAAAATGGGGAGGAAGGAGAAAGAGGGAGGAAGAAGAGGGGAAAGAAGAAGGGAAAGGGTCAAATGTTGAGATTTTTTTTTCTGATTTGGTTTTGGTTTCTTTTTTCATTATTATTATTATTATTATTATTATTATTATTATTGGGTTTGATTTTGTTTAAAGGAGGGAGAAAGAGAGGCTTGAAGGTAAGAAAACCAATTTACCTTCCTTCACCCTGTCAATACCTTTTCTTCCACATTTTCTATTGGTTTTGAATTTTTTTTAATTTTAATTCCGATTTTGATTTTGATTTTGGTTTTTTTCCCTTCCAGAAATGGGGTTTTCCGGATGAGCAAGGGATAAAGTAATTAATGGTGAAGAAATTGAAGTTTGTTGTTCTGTTTTATTTTTCCTTTTTCTTTTTTCCCTTCATGATCCTATCCGTTACATTACTTGCAACCTGTTCCTTACTCATTTACATGTTTTTAGCCATTCATGATGTCGTACGAGAAAAAAACTTACTTATGGGCTAAAATTTCAGATTGTTATTTTTTGTTGACCCTTTATAACACTTAAGTATTTTTTTTATTGCTCCAGTGACAGTTTGGTAATTTTATTGACCTCGATGGTCAAATAGGCCCAAAACTTGGTCGCCAACGAAAAAAATTGAAATTAAGCCCTCGAATCTTCATAATTTTGATATTAGTCCCCCC